AATCACGAAGCCAGCCCTAACTTGGAATCCTGAAGAGAAAATGAAAAGGGGAAGAGTAAGAACTACACTGCGTCAAGAATTCGAAGCAGACATGAAAATAATAATTGATTACTGAACTGAATAATTGAAGTTGGTTGGATGCAGTAGTTTTCCTGATTTAAGATAAGATACTTATCAATCTAAATGTTTTATCATGTCGCATGCTGTTAGGTGGTTGATGGTATTCTGTGAATGATTTTGCTTATGTCTCACTCCTATTAGTATAGAATTATTTATTCATCTATATATTTTCAGTGTAGGTATAAATGAATTTATCATAGCCGTTAGTGATTCGAGCATTGAGTTATATAGAAAACTAATATTGTTATATTAATTCACGTCGTTAAATTTGGAATCATTGTACACCAGACAGTCAGATTAATCCTTTTTTAAAAAGGCAACTATTTTGAAATTGAGTCGCAAATGATTTACTTGATTTGAATAAATTTATGTGAAGATGTTTCAATGATGTTTTTTTTCGAAACAAAACGAATTACATACCCAGTAACTAGTCAGCGTACACAGTCGCTAAATGTATAACGCATTGGTCGTTTAAAGCTGAAAGAACTGGATTCGTGTCCAGGAGTAGTCAACAAAACTGGATTTCGGTTACATACAACAAATAACTACTAAATGGAATAAAATATGAGTCTTATATTCTACTGCTAGCCATTATTCTACTCTTCATAAAAAAGGAATGAGAAAGACTTATGATTCAAATTATTACTTTTCATTATTGTCCTCGTAATAGCGTAAGGTAAACACATTCAACATAACAGCAAGCGGGTTTCAATGTTATTTTATAACACTCTTTGTTGAGAAAAAGACTGATAAACTACCTGAGATTATTGTACCGTGCTAATTTGGTACAATCTTCATAAATTTGATTATAACTGTTTTTAATTGTTAACACAGTACTCATCATCAGTTAATATAATAATCAGTGAGTTAGTCTCATTCCTAAATTATCTAAATTTATCGGTTACGGTTTTCTACTGGAACATTATGATAACCATTTCGACAAATTTAAAAAATGACGAAACCTTATACATCTTGACATGAATACTAATAGCTATCTGGTGAGACTTCTGCTGGGAACTATTTTTTAACTGTGGAATTGTTGCAATAAATTTTATCATCCTAATTCTCTCTTAACCAATTTCATACATTTTAACATAATATGTTGATAGGATTTTGTGAAATGTAGCATATTATGACATAAAATACTTCAAAACTCATAGGATATATCTTCCTATTTATCAAAATTTCGGAGACACGATTAGTTCCAGCCGACTGTCCACAAGAACCTAACTTATCACTATAGTGCATATAATGTCAAGTCACTTAGATTAGTAGCCATAACGCAACTTGAGCAGCAGAATTCAATTAGTCTTTCAAAGTTAAACAAACAACAGTGGAAAATGCTCAGTGATTAATCGGTTGTAAGCATCTCAATCCTACAGAACAGGCTAATCGACGACCCAATAGCTCAGTGGTAACGTTTCAGACTGTGAGACGTGTTCGAATCCTTCAGGTAGCATTGGTTTCCTTTAATGTTGCAGGCATACTTTGCTGATGAGGGCTTAGGTCTAGATTTTCTTGTAGACTATCTTCAACCATGTCGCCTTGAAATATATTTGCCACTATTTTCTTAGATGAAAAAGTGTAAAAGGGGATAAAACTCGTTGGGAATGTTTGAATGTACGGTGTTGAATTACTGTATAGAAATTTTAACTTATCTTTCCCACTAGTCAAGTGTTAAATGAACACACAAAACAGTTATGTTGTAATATTGAATTCCTTCATTTAAAAAAAGAAGATAAACCAGAGTTATCTAGTTGGAATTAAGGGATGGAATGAACACTTTTGATTGAATAATACAATGTAACTACGGAACTATGTTATTTATTCTAGTTCGAATTATTTTGTATTTTATTGATTTTAGCGTATTCTTTATTTATCCATTTATTAGTTCAGGTAAACATCGGTTAGTAATTTCCAGTTTTTGCATGATCTGATTTTGTAAACATATAATTTCACAGACTATTATTATTATTATTATTGTTAAACGTAGATCAATTGGTAAAAGTTTGATCAAGATCATATAATTTTTATTCGCATAGTTTTTGTGAGTGAACAAGATTTAATAGGTAATAATAGTTCGAAAGGCATTCGCCTCTGATATATATATGTACATATAAATCTATATATATGATGCTATCGAATTGAATAGTTCTAACTGGATAAAGACTAGTTCTTTAACAAAATGTTGTCATGTAAAAGAGTAGTACTCCATATGTTGAGGAAAGTGTTCCAATATTCAACTCACCAGGATTAGTTAAGCATAAGTGCAGAGAACGAACACTCAGGTGGGGCCAACAGATTTATTGTTTAATGCACAATTACACATTTTTTTAGTAAAATGTGAAAAACCATACATTCATTTGCATATCTTCGATCATTTGTTTCGTACTTCATTGTTTTTGCAATTACTCTCTGTTTACATTCTCGTTCTCTTCAATTCGGTCTTCGTAACTTTCTACTGCCAGGCGTTCCACTTCCGAATGGTCTTACATACTACTTTATTGACAGATATCAGTAGAATACACCACACAAGACATTATCATTTCTTTATTTTTTTTAACTTATTCCTGTTTGACTAATCCGCTTCTAATAAAATCAGTCTTATTTAGCAAACGGATAATCTACATGTAAACAAAACAGTTTCTTTGTGTTTGGATTGTTTTAAATTGTGTTTTCAACAAATAGAAAATAATGGCTTTTTAAATAAAATTACCAGTAAACACACTAGAGCTGAATTTTCTTATGTGAATTAGACATTTAAGAAACATCAAAGGACTTAAATTTGGATACAACAATTATGATGCATAACGGTTGCTTTTATATCAGAGAGGATTTGATAAAGACCAAACTTCCAGCATTAATCTTTTGGGAGCTCTAGTTCATATTTTTAATGTATAATTGTAGTGAACGACCAATTTATTACTTAACGGGATACTACACAGTGGCTTTGAAACATATGAGAATCACTCATTAAAGATTTCATTTCTATATCTTTCTTGAGTTGTTTTTTAGGCACTCGGTTATTCTTTGAATCCTATTGCTATTCTGATAGCTCTCTGTTTTCCTTTCTCTTCTTTTCATTTCAATCTTCTGCTGGTAAATATTCCATTTCCAATTCCAGCTACATACTACTTGCGTCTGTCAGCATAACTAGCATATATCACATAATTAATAAATAATTATATTAAGTTTTATGCATATTATCCTAATTATAAGCTTTCATTTAACGTGTTAATTATGGTCAAATAATTATTCCTGTATTGTTCATGGTTTATATCACGTGTAAATCAGTAGTATGCACATTATAATTTCTTATTCTCGTTGATGTGTGATCAGGTACTTAACGTATATTAGACTGAAGTTATTCGTTACTTTTATTGCTCGAGTAATGTGTCATATCTATGACGTTCGTGAATATTTTAGTTCACTCAGTGAAACAGTGCTGTATTTTAAAGTATTTTCAATTATGATTTCATTTAAAGCTCTGACTTTCGCAATATTTTGGGTTTTTATCCTGTATATTGGATTGATCTGCGCTGACGTATTCATGACGAACAATCAAGAATAACTGTAGATTCCTAAAGTGAATTCTGCAATATAGATTACATCCTGATATGCAACACTAGTCTACCAAATGGACAGTAAAACAGAGGAAGTACTGGACATAGCATATTTTTAACTCAAGTCATTATTTAAATTACATGAAACATCCCTAAACTACATCAGGATTATTGTAACTAAACCTGATTATATAACTTAGACCATTTAAAAATATTCACTAATTTTAACTATTTTCTTTGATGTTTCATAAGAATTAATTAGTACTGTAGTGAACAAGAACATCACTGAGGACAACAAAATGTGTTTGAATGCAAAATTACAAAATCTCATAGTAAAATCTGAGAACCATACAGTAAATATATCATTTACAAAATATCCATTAACTGTCTCAGACTTGACTGTTCATTCATTTTCATACCAATTACTCTCAGTTCTCGTTCTCTTATCATCTATTTCCTTAACCTTCCACTTTCGATTGATGATACATACTACTTATATTTGTCGACATCAGTTGCACACACCACAGTACATTCAAAACTTGACAAATTCTACTTCATTGTGAATTGAGGTATTATTATATAGCTTTTTGTAAGCAAAGATGGATAGTGGCTGTTATATCATAGCAAAGATTAAATTACGAGTAACTTCTGAGACCTATTAATCGACTAGTATTACCTATATATTCTTATGGTATAACTATTCAGTAATTAGACTATGTATAACCATATTCCGCTCATTATAAGCTTCGTTTTGACCTATAGATTATTATTGTACGATTTACTGTTCATAAGTTATACTTAGTTTATTAATTACTGCCTCTCACGTTCACAGCCACTTTTTGGCTTATTTGTGTATAAATGTTACTTCCTATTTTATGGTGCTTTGGAGTCTGTTTGGTTGTTATATAAATCCGGTACGTCTGAAATAAATGATTCGCGTAGTGGAGGCTGTTATCGGTATTTCGGACTCAGCTGGACGGGCTAGGCGAGTAACGGATCAATAGGACACAAGGCTGATCAGACCAGTCGGACGTCATTGGTTTAGTACAGTATAAGAGCGAATAAGTCATATTTTAATTGTCGAATAGATTAAGTAATAACTAGCGGGCCACAAAGTCACAACAGTGGCTAGTAGTGAAATTCAGGACACGCATTTCATCCTATTTAAGACTTGTCAACTAGATGATCAATAATTACCAGTCTCAAATATCAATTAGAAGATTCAAGTAAACAATACCAAGAATAGCTTCTTAGTTAGAATTAATTTTCTCAGTAACTATTATAAAAGTTACATTTCAAGTCAATATGAAATAACACTTTTGTAAATAAACAATTTATTTTTGGTCAAGAATAGGATCATTAAAAATAAAGCTTTTTTGTTTGTTTGATTTAATATTTAGCATACACTCATATTATCTACATGTAACACACTATTCAATTAAATATTTAACATTGAATATACATAAGAATAAGAGATTTTACACATGATAAACATAATGGTTTGTAAGAAAAAAGAAAAGGAAAACAACAACAACATTGTAACAGTCTGCTAAAAGAAAAAGAGAAAAAAAGTAAAGAAGAAAAAAAGACAAAAAAATAATCAATTTCTTTTAAATTGTTCCAGTTTTTTTCTCCTTTTTTTTAAAAAAAATTTCCTTTTAAATCTTTTCTATTTATCCATACGTACTGGTATAACTATACCTTCTAATAAGGCTTCTTTATCTTTTATAGCTACTGGTGTTGTAAATGATATAATTAAACGATTAATTTTTGGATATTTTATTAAACAATGATCTGAACAACAAATACAATTACAACCAGTTGTATATATAGTTGATTTTAATGTAAAATTTGTATGATATGCTGTCATAGCAATTAATATACCAGTACCATATATATTACGATATGGTTTATCACTTAATCTAAAACCAATTGATGTTAACATTAATACAAACATTGGTATATTTAATAATATAAATGTCACATAATAACATCTTAAACGATAGGTCATTTTTAATTCACCATTAATTTGTTTTTTACTTAATGATGAATAATAAAATGCTACAATGACAAATATTGTTGGTAATGTAATTAATATAATTAAATCATAATAAAAATATGAACGACACATTGTTGTACAACGTGTCAATATCATACCATCTTCTTCAATGGATTCAAATGCTGTAATAGATGGTAATGTTATTAAAAATGATATCAAATAAATACAACCTGGTATAATACGTTTACAACGATAAAGAAATTGTTTTGTTGGTAATGGAATATCAATTTTATGTTTTGTTTTAATGATTGAAATTTTTTCTGATTTATCATTTATTGATGGTTTATCATTATTGATTGTATTATTGATAGAATCTTTAGAAATACCAGGATTTATATCACCATTAATAGGATACATAAAATTAGATTGATTATAGGCATTTACTTGATTAATATAATTATTCATATTCATTGTCATTCTATAATCTATTCCATAATTCATATTCATTGTATATGGATTAGCTTGTTGTCCAATTGGTCCATTATTGAACATATTATAATTATCAGGTGTAGTCATCATATTTTGTGGAATCATTTGACCATAAGGATTCATTAAACCACTTAAATTGGGCATTATTCCAGGTAATTGATTAGGTGAACTTAATACATTATTCTGACTAATAAACAATGGTTGTGCAGCAATTAAATTCATCCCATTAGAGTTGGCAACTTGGTTTGTTGCAGTATTAATTTCATTCGTATTAGTTAGAGTATTGATTGATGATGAAATAGGTGTAACAGCTACAGTGTCAGTAGTTCCTCGAACACTTTTATTTGACCTTGATTTTCTTCTTTTATCAGTGTAACCCCATTCTGTGGTTCTTCCCCGACCAACTGGTTGTTGTTTATTATGACGTTTGGGTGATGCTTTTGTAGCTTTTACCGTAGCTTTTCTTGCTGCCGCCAATCTTTTCGTTTCATCACGTACTTTATTACACTGTAGTTTGCAAATAAAACATATGTACCAGATTAAATTTATTATTGGTGTACGGTAAACCCAATAGACAAGATGATAGATCGAAGCGGTTCTAGTGAACAGATCACAAAAGAATCGTGTTTGTGCCATTCCCCAGCCTAAGATGAAGTATTTATGCGTAGGTGATAATGGTGTGAATAGAGGTCTTGATAGAACGCTAAATACTAATGGTAAACTTGAACATGTGAGTACTAAAAATTCTGGCCGTTTTGGAAAACTAATTCCAGTACGTCGTAGATCAAATATGTTGAGTACTCCATGAGCGGTCAAACATTCTGAAAATAAAGAATGGTAATAAGTAAAAACCATTTTATAATTTGACATATAAGTTAAAAAGCAAATGCACACACGTATTATACAATGATTCATAGTACTGAATACATTACTCTTGGAGTATTTCGTTGAATTTGATATATTTAGAAACATGCAAATAAATAAAGTGGAATCTGAGAAAGGATGCCATTTTATTAAATTATTTACACAAATATGTAACTACAGACAAGCGGAAATCAGGTATTTATTACGTCAGGGCATTTACTATATATGATTGTTCAGATTCATAAATTATTAATATAATGTATATGTTTTCTGGAAGGTTTTTGTGATAATAAGTTATAACTATATAAATAACCTTGTCTCTGTTGTTATCTACTCCAATATCAAGACTTCCAGATTGATGAAAATCTGGAAGTAAACTGGTGAGCTAACTTTAGAGTTATAAGCTGTAATGACTTTGTAATATGGAAAATATTTTTCACTGACGAACTTATTCCCTTAGTTAAAAAGCTATAACAATTATTCCATTATACATTTACAATTTCAATAAATATAAAAACTATACTTAAAATTTTTTCACAGTTATGACTAGAAGTGAGAACCGGAATGTGCAATTTACAATTAAATTCACATAAGCCACTGAGTACAATGAATGAGAAATGTTATACATTAATCAGATATGCTAGTAAAATAACATCAGTATCGCGGCAATCCGCTTAGAATGTACATACACCAAAAAGACTGATCACTTGACTACCTTAACATTAGAAAAACGAGAATCAAAACAACCCTTAAGAATGAATGAAATGTGTAATAGTGTGTTGTGTGCTACTGACGTCGACAGATATTAGTAGTATGTATCATCAATCGTAAGTGGAATATTTGGCGGCAGAAAGTTGAGGAAATCAAAGAGAAGATGACGGGAACAGAAAGTGATTAATATAGAAACTAAAGAACAACAAAATCTGAGACAAATAATGGATATTTTATAAATGATATATTCACTGTATGATTCTCAGATTTTACCAAGATATTCTGTCAGATTGTATTAACACACATTTAGTTATCCTCAGTGGTGTTCTCGTTCACCACAATAGTATTATCAAGTCAAGTATCTTGAAAACTCAATATACTGATTGACTATTAACGTCAGTTTCGTTTAAGCTTGGGTAAAAATGAGTATAAATATTCCAAGTAGTACAAAGTGTATATTGAAACTTATAAACAACTAAAAGTAGATTAAATTCATTTTTTTTGTGTAGAATAGTTTCATTTTATATCATTTTATCATTTTTCTATTCACAGGTTGAAATCATGAGTTAGTTGAAGCTAGACCACCACTCTCGACAAAACCCATTCTGATTTTTCTATTCATTGAATTGGATCATTTATTGTGTATACATAACACAAAAACCTATTTAAACAATAAAATTCCATTTTATTCAGTTTGTTTTAGGCGGTTTTTTTCTTAAATTTTGCGCTGTTTCCTGTTAATACTATTTCATATTCATATTGCGCTACAAATGTAAGTAGTATATATGTATGAAGAATTGACTGTAATAAGAAATATGAATTGTTATAAGTTGTTAGATAATTGAAGATAGTCAGCAGGAAACCCTCAACTTAATTTTTATATTGCTTACTTGTAATCCTTGAGGGAAATTATAGACCCTGTAAGATTCAAACATGCATCATTCAGCTTGATTATATGAGATGTACCTACTGAACTATTTGGGTCGAAAATGATTTGCTATTAAAATGAAATATTTATAATTGATCCATAATTAATTAGCACTGTGATACTTGTCGAATCTTTTATTGTTGATCGAGTCTTGTAGATTGTTACAATCAGTGTGAAGGAGATTTGTAGCTCATGTGGATGATTTTGATGGAGTTTTGTTCTCTGAGTTGGATGTTTTGGTCGTGGAGTTTCCATCGTTTTTCTGAACGACATCAGATCTGAATTTCGTGCTTGCAATCAGTGTAAACTACTTTCAAATATAACAAGACTGTGAAGGCTTTCCATAAAAAAATTCAAGAAATTCTAGAAGATTTGATTTTAATTCGATTTTAAATTTTTCAAGTTAACTTTTAATTAATAGGAATTACAACAGGTCTGATAAAATTCTACTTAGATTGTTTTTCAGTGTACGTCTGTGTGGCTGTTTAAAAAATAGTTGTGTCATACAGACAGTTTTATACATTGTCATTTACTTATTCATATTTAGTTTTTCCTCAAGTTAAGGTCGTTGTACTTTGATTTGATAATCATTACCAAAACTGAATAATCCATAACCCTCTTCTTAGAATAGTATTACTGAAAAGAGTTTTGATTAAACATAGAGAAGGCAGTTGCAGAAATCAATAATTGTATTTATTTATGCGCAACAATACTATTGACTTCACAACTGTAACTTTACAATAAAGGTATAATAAAGTCTATAAGTGTCACTTCAATGGATTCAATGACGAATCTTTTAGACAGTTTAAGCTTAAACACTGAAATATGCTATGGTATTATTTCAGTATGTCAAGTAAGCCCAACATTAGTATCCAACCTTACAATATAAACTACTGAATTTTGATTGGAGAAGTCGACAATGCAGAAATTTTGTGTTCGATCTCATGAAAGTTATAGTTACCTTGCAGTTAGGAAGTTTCAAAATGAATGAAGCATTTATCTAGTGTTCCTTTTTAGTTCTACAACTAGTGTTAGTTATTAATAGCAGCTAATTTTGAATCATTAAAACGTCCACAAATAGCTTCATGAAAATTAACTTTTTACTAGACATTAGTTAATCACAGCGGATGCATTTCTTTATAATTAATGCAACATAAAACTCAACCTAGTTTTAATATTGTTATTATTATCCACATAAGTGTTGCATTGCTACCATAATTATTATCGTTACCAACCTTGTAAATACATAGAGAATTAGTATCATTCTATACACTAAGTAATCTTCGACCGAATATTTGATCTAATATGTACTTTACATTATTATTTCTCTCACTCCATACTACTTATATTTGTTCTGATAAGTAACCTCACAGTTTTAACTGACTTATAAATCTACATACTAGTCATTTGCATTGTGCTTAATGCTTACTTAAAATCCTCAATTCATTATACTGTAGTATTGCATAAGATATATTTCCTTTAAAGTCGGCTGTTCCCTTAAAATGCAGGTTTAAAACTGGAGAACTTAATGAGAAGAATAATTTTGTTTACATATTCATTTGTTTACCTTAATAAAATGAATTAATTTTTAATGTAATTCATGCAATTATAATGAAATGGTGAAGAATTAATTCAACGGAATAAAATATCAGAAGGGTAGCATAGTAATTTCAATAGTTGAGATCATGAGTCAATTGAAGCTAGACCACCATGGAAAAACTGGGAGCACTGGACGGCCATTTCGTTTTATTGTTGGATTCTTCAGCGGTGTGTGTCCACGATCCCGTCCCGCAAGATTCGAACACAGGACCTATCAGTCTCGCGCGCGAACGCTTAATCTGGTGACCACTGAGTCGGTCGGCATCCAATGGTGTTAATGTCTAACTTCAACTAATCCACGAAATTGAGTGAGACATTCTGGTTTTCATCAAAAACGAAACTACATTTCTAATAAGGTTACTTTTATGTTTCTACAATCACTTAACAATCTTATTATTAGGTAAAGTTATTTCGAAACGTCATGTACCTTTTTTGAATAAAATATATTAACTATATATTGAATGAAGTTAAAAATGTGAAAAAACATTAACACTTCCCAATAAATATATTTTTGTTATATCCCAATAAGGCGAAAAATTATATTTCTAATGTTTCGTGACTTCATTTAAGTCACTTCTTCAGAGTAAGTAAATGGTGGAAGTTAAATTAACTCAAGTTTAAATAGTATTTTTAAATAGTAATCTGAAGAAGTCGCTAACATTAGGTCACGAAACAACAAAAATACAATTTTTCTACTCATTGGGATATAAGTAAACATATATTTTTTATTAACTTTCTACCTAGTGCTTAATATATTTGAAACTATTAATTTCAACCTTGGTATTGATACCTATTATAAATATTCAATTGACCCTTTTTTGAGAATTGGAAAAATTCAGATAGTGTAAAACATAAAATTTATGCTACATAATTATAGTTTTAAGCTTTAACTTATGAAGAAATATATTTCTTTTTATGATACATAAGAACTTGGCATTTCACAATTCCTTAGTGCTTTAGAATCAGATAACTGTCATGTGAAGTTGTTTGGAATCGAATCATTAAGAAGAGAATTATAGATAACTGATATTTCTCAATAATGTTCACCGCTAACACACACTCAATCAAACTCACTATAGGATATGATGGAAATGTATATTCGATTGAGTTGCTATCATAGTCGTTAAAAGTAACTAACGGTTTATTGAGTGACCTAGAGAAGAGACTAATCTTCTTTAATCGAATATTCCTTGAAATATTTCTGATAATTAACCTGGAATTAAAACAAACTCATTGTTTATATTATGTTTGTTTGAATTTAGTATTTTTATACAAGATTTCAAGGATTTATCTTCATAAATTCAATTTTCCTTGGAAAGAAAAAGGTATTTGAATTAATCAAAAGGAAAATACACTGAATTTCCTTGGTATACCATTATTTTGTGAAAATGTGCTTTATTACATATTCGATTGATTTGTAGATTTCCGGAATAATAACGTACTTCTTCAGTTATCTTTTATTTAGTGAATATAATTCATTTGTGATAGATAAATTTGTTAACGTTTTGAGAAACAATATTCCATATCATATGATCCATTCAGGTGATTTTCTGTCATTTAACTAGGCTTACAAATAAACCGCTAAAAGTACAATAGGTAATTACAGTAATTATCATTTCATTAAGTTCTCTTCGAAAAGGTTTCTTCATTTTAAATAAACGTTAAGTTACATATTTTGATCATAGAGTGAAATTATGAAATACTCGACTTTGTGATCTGTTTTGATATTTATTAAGACTAATTTATAATAGAAATAGATTTCATTAAATACTTAAACAATAGAGAGAATAATGGGAAACATCGACGTGTCGTGAACCCGAACACGAGTGAGAACAATCAAATGTATTTAAATAAAAAATTTTCTCAAACTTGGTTGTTCCTTCTGGAAATTTTTCTATCATTCTCTGTTCTTGTTTTTCTTTCCTTAGATCTTCTTAATCTTCTACCGTCAGACATTTCACGTTCGATTGATGAGACATACTACTTATATCTGACGACATCAGTAACACACAGAACAGACGGATTGGTTAGTTTTTTTTCTCATTTCAAGGTCATTAGTTAGGTGAAGTTATGATCCCTAGAGTTAGATTTAAAATTTTCTTATTATCATTCCAATACATAGTTGGAATATATTAATTCTTATTTTTCAATCTCATTTCTTTGTTAAATTCACTTGTTGTTGTTTTACTTGTATCTTCCAATTGTTATTTAGGACTATATTTGATCAGTCTCATGTTGGCATATGTGCATCCTGTGCGGACTGCCTCGATATAACCTTAAGTCACAAGCTTTTTAGATAAAAATGAATGATGGCTAGCAGTGGAATCCGGGACACACGTTTCATCCAGCTGACGAGTCCCAAATAGAACGAAATGCGCGTCTTGGATTCCACTGTTAGCCACCATCCATCTTTTCATTTCTTTTGTGTCTATAATTTACTTTCATGTGTAGTTAACTTGAATATAATTACTATCTTAGTGATTTAACTGAATTTCAATTATTCTATGCTTTACTTTATAGCATTTCGATATGAAACTCAACTAATATCTGTTATATCATATAAAATCTAATCATTATTGAATGACAATAAACGAATTTGTTAAAAATCACTTTATAATTACTTATTAAATAATAAAAGTACTTACTTATAATTCCAAATATACTCATTGTTACCAAAAAGATACTTGCAATCCATGATGTAATTTTACTACCAGAACATGCATACAATTGAAAATCTGGTTCAGATAATTCACTACGAACACATGCAAATTCTGAATGTATCGTTGTATGATCATGATGATGAATGGATAATGTTGTCAATGTACTAAGTGTATCTAACAAGTTTGATGTAACAATATTATAATATTTTTCAGTTGTTAATATATAAGTATCATTTATATGGATAGATGATTCTGTTAATGATTGATTAAATGTACTATTAGTTATAAGATCAGTTGTTGATGAAATTGAATATTCAGTAGATTGCATATTTCACTTAAGTAAAGAATTATTCATCAGAATTCATTTTATGATGCTCAGTATCTTATCCAATGTTATTTAGTCTGTTTAATGTTGACTTTTAAAATGAAGCCTTCAATAATATAAACACAATGGATAATAAACTAAAATGATCCTAGTGTAAAAGAATCAAGATAGTGAACTTTGATTAATCTAGTTTAGAAATATTAAAGTATTTGCCAAAATAATTTTTGCTATGTTAAATAAAGGTGTGTTAGGATTGTATGTCCGTCATAAAAAGCACCTATATGAGGAAAAAGTGCCCAAATGAATACATAAATGTGTTTGTATGTTTATCTATATACTAAATACATACAGAGTACTTTATACACTTGAATAGTTTACGCATACACACACACACACAAACCTATTTCGTTCCAAATAGAAGTATACAATTATGTGTAGGTGTTCTATGTTATCTTAATATAAACATTTAGATTTAACTGATTTACGAAATACAAGACTAATACTATTTATTAATTAAATCGCTGTATTTTATATTAAATTATTTCAGTTTCATAAAACCTATGAATAGCAATTTACAAATGTATGAAAGATGTTAAGTTTTTTACTAGAATAGTAATAATAAATAGATTACTGAAAGATCATTTCTGAATTTATCTTTATCTTACTTACTTACTTACTTACGCCTGTTACTCCGAATGGAGCATAGGCCGTCGACAAGCATTCTTCAACCCACTCTATCGTGCGCCTTCTTTTCTAGTTCTATCCAATTATTGTTCATTTTTCACGTCTATCTCCATTTCCTGGCGTAATTTGTTCGTTGGTCTTCCTCTTTTCCGCCTAGAGTCCCTCCGGGGGCTACTGCCGGTCCCAAGCCTGGATAAAGGAGGAGGGGTGGGCATGGGGTTAGCGTCCTCATCGCGTAGAAAACTAACTCGCTAAAAAAAACGCTAACCAGAGAAATTATTCAAACCTCTTAAACTCTGCCCTGGGAGTTAGAAGGTCTTCATTTAGAAGAGTTATGATGCCTCATGATGGAAGCTGAGTTCCTTCGGAAGTTACGAGGTCGATGCCTCTTCTGACAACCAGAGCAACCATTTATTTAGACACATGAAATACTCGTACAATGTGGGAGACCGAAAGAGTTTTCCAAATTAGTGCAGAAATGAGGAGATACAACCTGGAGGTGCTTGGGATTAGTGAAACGCATTGGAGGAAAGTTGGACATCTTTATCTTAGGTACAGTTTATTTATATTTTCAAATTCCATTTCAAGTAAGTTTTATTTTAATGCAATATCTTCATAGGAAATGATCTTTTGGATATGACTAGACCTGAAATAATGACAAACTTATTCATATCGTAAAACAAAGCTTGTTCTTTTATCGAAATATCCATTTACATCGATTTGGAAAAGTTTAGTTTCACAGTTCACAGAAAATATCCTTAGATGAATGGTCAATTTGCTCAACATAATGTTAAAGTGAAGTTTGTTCAATAATTCCTATGGCATGATATTGTTGTGATCATTCCAACAGAAAAAGCAGTTCAACAGCTAAATAGATATATCCTCTACTATGAAGAATGATATCAATAAAATAGTCGATTAACTAGATAAAACATTCAATTCTTGAAGTTAATCTTCTAATATGGACATGAGAAACATATGCATTGATCTGCTTAAAAGACATATATATGTCATTTTGGGTTATTGATTTTACAGCAAAGAGATAACAGAATATTGTGATCATGACAATAAAATATTTGGGAGTAAGAAGTGTATAGTCAAGTAATTATCAGCTTTACATTGTTATGAACTATACAATATAAGTAAAAACATGGTAATCATTGATAAATACCAAATAGATTCCTAGAATTCTAGTGGAAAGTCGTGGCCGGTGGAGTCAATCTGTGTAGGATAGAGGCAGGTATCTATCTCAGATATTGAAATAATGTTTGAACAAAGTCATGAATCGACTGAAGTTAGACATTAACACTGTTGGATGCCAGCTCAATGGTCTAGAGATTAAGCGTTCACGTACAGGACTGAAGATTCTGGGTTTTCTGATACATCTGACGTTCAAAATAATGTAGTTAATCCTTCAGTAGATTTCTGTGTATGCTTCTCAATTGGTAGTCAATAACGAAATGGGGCCTTTACACAGAGTTAATTATTGATTGACACAATCAAATCTCTGGCGACAAGTTTAGATCTTACAGATTTTCATAACTTGTTTCCTCTTATAATTAATAGTTATATGAACTTTAACACATAAAATATTTTCTAAAGTCAAGATCATCAAGAATACACAGTCGTAGAAAATAAGTGAAGTGAGAAGCTTGAATAACTATTTAACTATCTCTTTCTTGAAAATTAACATTTCTCTGATATTCCGAAAATGTGTCTGATGAATTTCTTGAAAAAAAATTCATGAAATCGCTAACTGGTAATTGAAACAAAAGGTGATTATCGTTTTAATAACTTGAAAAATATTTACACCATGAAGTGCGATTATCAGGAAATTGACTGAAAACAGGTCAAATACAGATATATGTGTTTAGTCTTGGTCTGGAACACGTTCATCTAATAAGTCAGTCATATTGTGGTGTGGGTTGCTTATATCCACACAAGTAGTATATAACGGTGGTCAGACATAGAATGTATTTCAGTAGGAGATCGATGAGGAAAGAACGGCAACGGGACGCAATCGGTATGAAAATGCATGAATAATGAAATCTGAAACAATAGACTGATATTCGCATCAGGAACATTCAAGTTTGAGACGATGGATTGATCTTTTGCAAATCAACTATTTATAATATGGTTCTCAGATTTTAGTGAAACGCTCTGTATTTTATTGACAAATACATTCGATTGTGTCAACTCGTGTTCTTGTTCACTACAGAACCATAAATCTGATTTAAAAGCATTGTGTTGTTTGTTTTTGTATTTAAACATAGTAGCTGTTAAAACTAACAAAAAAAAATAGGAAATTTCAACCGCTTTATAAAAGGGAATTAACTAGATGAACCAAAAATCAAATGTAAACAGTCAATTTTTATTACTATCTATCAGTTTGTTTGAAGATTGACATATTGGTTGGTTAACAGTCGAATGATTTATATTCTCATTAATACTTGTATCAATCAATTTAGTAATTTAATGGATTCAATCTAATGCATAATTAGAAAAACACTTCAGCAATAAGGTACTTTGTATTTAATAGATTTGTTTAAGATAATACTAACAATTTTATTATTTTCAAAAGGAAATGGATAGTGGTTAACAGTGGAATAAAATATGCACATTTCGTCTTATTTAGAACTCATCAGCTGGAATGCTTATGATTTAGGACAATATCAAGACAATCCGAACAGGATGCACATATGCCAATAAGACAATGATCAATTGCAGTCCTAAACATCAATGAGAATATCCAAACAACCAGTACAAAATTTTATTATCTAACGAAAATCTAAAATTTAAACATCTTACAACTGTAGTTAAATATTGTTTTTTTTTAATGACAGGTTGAAGTTTCTACCAATATTGGCGTGACTATGTATGATTTATTCAACTTCACTAATATAGACTATTCACTGAGTAGCAGTAACTAACAATCAAGAAGTATAGACAATATTACCGCTAAGTTCATGATAATTCAATCAATTAGCATAATGCACTGACGAGTATGAATTGAAGCCAACTAAACAATAAGAAAACAGATTTATGTAGTTTTGGTTAATGATAAACAATGTCTTCATACAGATTCTTTCAACAGATATTTGATGGTATTTCAAATAAATAATGGAAATTTTTCATCCGTTCAGCTTACTGAGAGTAATAATTCAGTGTAGGAAAACACTACGGGAATGACCTTGAAAAACAGTGTAAAGAACGCTGTTTACACATTTAGTCTTTGTCCTGAAAGGGGAAAAATAAGTGACTTGTATAACTGTCACCACCTCGTTATAATATTTTATAAAGGTATTATGTTGTCTACAAGTAAACAGACGTTTTTAGCTAAGTGTTTCGTAAACTCAGGAGTATATTTATCAGCTCATACTGTAATAGGTGCTGAGGTATCACGAAAGAATTTTTTCTGTTGTGTGACAATATCAAACAAAGTCTGTTACATATTCATAGCTATACATCATTAGCCGGATATCTATCATTAGAGGCTGTGTGACATGTTAATTTTCTAAGACAGTAATAAACTTTATAATCTCGATTTAAAATATCTCTTAGTACACATATTACGTGTTCTCATATAAGGCTATGTTTATTTATTTTCTGCCACGGAGCATCTATAGGTAACTGCTAACTTATCTTTGGCTAACGGAATAATCTCTGCTGATTAGTTCTGCAAGATGAAAATACGAATATACTAACAACAGTATTTATAGTCAAGCTAAAGAGTAATAAGATAGAATTTCTATTGATTCTTCAATAAAATGACGGAAAAGTCTATAGGGTACAGCCGTGACCAGACTATGTGAGAGTACAATGAGAACAGGTAAAAACATTAGATGAGTCAGTGAAGTCGTTGGATATTGGTCTACACAAAGAACTGTCAAAATATGGACTACTCTCTTGAAAGTAAATAAAACCTAGAATTTTCCCGATAGCTTTCAGACTTTTAAAGTCAGATTATAACAGAAATTAATATTCTAAATGTTGATGGCATACCATGATAAGCAGTAAATTTTAAAAAAAGCAAGGGTAGACATGGTTGATGATAGATTTTATAAATCCAAAAATGTCTTTCCTTCATTATCAACGTAAATGAGAAGTCTAGCTACTTTTTATGAACTTACATTTTTCACAAAGCTTCAACAAAAATGAAAACGGTCAAAATAAAGAGATGGGTGATAGTAAAATTGAATGTCAACTATTTGTTAGTTAGAACATAGTTTAAAGATTTATTATCAGCATAAAGTTCTGGAGATTATTGAGTTTCATCGAAACCATGGACAAATAACTGTCAGATCACCATCAAAAACTTGGAAGCATTGGACATTCATGCAGAAACATGGATTGATTGAAGCTAGACATTAACACCGTCGGCTGCTATCTCACGGGTTTAGAAGTTAAGCATTAGCCTGCGAGACCTAAGGTCACGAGTTTGATTGCCGCGTGCGGAGTCGTGAATGCTCACTACTGATCAGTCTCACACCAGTACGAAACCACCGTCCAGTGCTTACAAGCTTTAAATGGTGGTCTAACATTGATCGATCAATGATTTCAATGATAAACGTTTTATTTTGCCTTATTGACAATGAATAAAACATTGGTTGACTTTAGAAGAGCGCTTAAAAATGTCGAA